TATATTGTGTTTTTTAAGGAATTTATCTTATCTAAAATACCAAAATTATGTTTTGATATTATCAAACGTTTTTGAAATGTTTTGAAATTATCACAATTATGTTTGCAGTGCTCTCCGAGCGAGGTTAGCGTCCCTAGACCTAGAGTGACGTCCCATCTTTAATTCCTGACATTAGTGACTTGTGTCCCCCTTCCCCCATCAATCTTGCTAAAAGTTGATCAATTTTATTAGTCTCCTCAGAGAACCACATTTCAGCGTTGTAGATTTTCCTCAATGTAATATTCCTTTTTTATTTCATTGACTTGTGCGCTTGTCTTTAAACCTGTTTCCTTCTATTTTTGGGGGGCTTAATTTGCTGTTTTTTTAACGTCTCAGGTGGGTTCCAGCCTCTCCTCTGCTCCGTGACACACGTTTAAAGCCATAGGTTTCCCTCTATGCACTCGTTTACCTGTAAGTTCTGACATGTTACGTTTTTATTATTATTTAATTTAAACCATTTTTCCATTCTTATTGGATTTTTTTCTTTGACCCTCGAGTTATTTGGATTGTTTCGTTTCCAAAACATTTGGGGATTCCCTAGTTATCTTTTTTATTGATTCCTAGTTTAATTTTACTGTGGTCAGAGAACATATTAAACATGATGTAATTTCTTTGAAATTTGTTGGAACTTGCTTTTAAAACCCTGCATATGGTCTCTTTTGGTGCGTGCTCCGTGTGTCCTTGGAAAGCTCACGCGGTCCGCAGTCGGGCGGGGGGCAGGGTCTGTCTGTGCGAGCCGGGCCAAGGCGCTGACGGCGCCGTCCGCAGCTGTCTCCGGGGGTGCTGTGACGGCTGGTTTCCTATCGGTCGCCGACGAGATGCATTCAGATCCCCCGCTACGGCTGTGGGTTTTCTCTTTTACCTTTCAGTTCTGCCAGTTTGCTTTCTATATTTTGGTTATGTTTTTAGTTGCATACAGATTTAGAATGGATCTCTTCCTGTCGAGTTGATGCTTTTGCAATTATGGAATATTCTTTATCTCTAGTAGTAGTTAAAGCTTACTTGTCTGATGCCAGTTTACCTGCACCTACGTTCATTCAGCTATACCAAGACACGTTTTTTCCTATCCTTTTACTGTCAATTTTTCTATATCTTTATATTTTAAAGTGGATTCCTGTAGTTGCTCTTAATCCTGCCCGACGATATTGATCCTTCCATCGGACTGTTACTCCACGTGTAATGCGTGCAGTCTGCCCTCTTACACTTCCTTTTCTTTTATTTCATCTCTTCTTTTCCTCCTGTCTTCTCTCCACGCTCCGAGCTGACCATGCTCGTCCAGTCCATGGGAATTCCTTTCTACCACGTTGCCTCTGTCCCATTCATCTGTTGCATTCTTAATTTCCATTATTGCCTTTTCTGTTCTAGAATTTTATTTTTTTAATATAGTTTTTATTTCTCTGGTGAAATTCCCCATCTTTTCATCTATTTTCTTGAACCTGTTCAGCGTGGTTATTTTTAAGCCCTCATCTAAGAACTCTGAAGCGAACCACAGCCATCGACTCGCTCACAAGTCCGTGGGTCGGCAGCGTGGGCCGCCCAGCTGGGTGGTCCTACCTCGGCCCACCACACAGCGGCACACATGGCGGCCCAGCAGTGGCTGGTGGTCTCGGCTGGCCTCGAACCTGGAGCCATCGGGCTGTCAGCCAGGGCCCTCAGCTTTCCTTCATGTGGCTTTTCCAGCAGGCAGCTCAGACGTGTCCTCAGCAGCATTCTAAGAGGGTCACAGTGGGGCTGCACGGTCCCCAGAGGCTGAAGTGCAGAACACCTGGTCCCTTTCCACTGCGGCGGAGACAGACTCAGCCCCCAGTGGGAGCAGCTACAATGCATTTGCACCCGTCTTTAACCTACCAGAGCAAAATTCACCTACCCCACCAAGACACCTAAAATTCTGACCCAATTACAGACGGCATCCTGCCCAAAGTCCTGCATCTTGCGATCTGCCTCTGCTTCCAGCCTCTGCCCAATGCCTGGCCCCCAAATCAATGCCATATGTGTTAGGATACTGATGTGACGGTACCCTGCCTCTGAGTCCTAATTTCTTTATCGGTTATCTATTGCTACATAGCAAGCGACACTGCAGCTTAGTGGCTTAAAATAATTCGTTTCTTTGCTCATAACTTAGCTAGGAGGTTGTCCTGCAGCTTTGCAACCACTCGCGCAGCCACCGTCACCGGGCAGTTCATTCAGGGCTGGGTGGTCTAAGACGGCCTCATTCACATGCCTAGTGGTTGGCGCCGGCGGTCAGTCGGGCCCCTCGGTTCTCCTCCACGTGGCTCTGTAGCCAGCAAGCTCAGGCCTGCTCGCACGGCCACGTTCCGAGAGCGTGTGAGTCATGCACAGTGTCAGTTCCCAGCGTTCTTCCAGTCTTGTAAAGGCACGGGTCAGCCCAGACTCGAGTAGTAGTAAAGCTCCTCTCTGAATGGGAGGAGCCACACGTGTCGAAGGCGGTTGAATGTACCCACCTTTAGATCTGTTTCTATGGTCTGTTTTTTCCCTTGGTTTTCAGTCTTTTGCGTATGACAAATTGTTGAGGCTCAATGATACTGTCTCCTTACAGGTAATTTTATCCTCTTCTAGCAGAATGTGCCTGGGCAGAGCATGCTCCAGTCTGGGATTGGGGCGATGTGGGGCTAGTGATGGGGTCTCAACTGAGAGCCTAGGGTGTTGCCTGGGGCTCCCCCGCAGTAGCTTCTGTCCCCAGTGACATGAGTCTGCTAAGTTCTAGGTCAGCCTTTTTTATTTATTTATTTATTTTTGAGACAGAATCTTGCTCTGTGGCCCAGGCTGGAGTGCAGTGGCGTCATCACAGCTCACAGCAACCTCAGACTCCTGGGCTCAAGCGATCCTCCCACCTCGGCCTCCCAGAGTGCTGGGGTCACAGGTGTGACCACCGCGTCCAGCCCTAGGTTCACTTTTCACCCTCTTAGCAGCTACTTTTCGCTCAGTTTCTCTGGATCTCACCCACCCGTGCAGCTTAGGAATCCACAGATGCTTCCAGGGAAAATGGTGTGAACGGAGGCTCACTGCTCCGTGGTGCCCTGTTCACCGGGATCCTGTCCCCTGTGTCCTGGTGTCTTTGCGGCCCTGGGCTCAGCAGCCCCGCGAGCCCCTGCGCTGTTCCGTGCCGGCGCCCCGTGTAGCGAGTGGACAGAGCTGCTGAGGAGGAAGCTCAGCCTGGAGCGTGGGCCAGCTCCCGTGTCTCCTCCTGTCTGGGGTCTGGGCCCCTCGAGTCTTGTTCGCCAAAGCCTCCAGAGCCACTCGCTGTCGCCGTTGCCCGTCTGGCCGGCGGTTATGGGCGTTTCCGTGAGAGGGTTTAGTCAGGTGGGAGCTGCACGGCCAGAAGGGAAAATCCTGCTGTTTCCGTGTTGCTGTATTTTCTTCCAGTCTTTTTCTAAGCACATATATATCGTCTCTTTTGTTCTTTTTCTTCCTGCTATTTCTTTATTCAAAGGGAACTTTAGAGGCAAAACAGTGCAGCCCCCTTAACGGAGTGGCTCAAGTAGTGACTTTCCCTTATCAATCTGTCCTCAGCGCCTCGTGTTCCAAGTACCTACCTGTTTGTGGGGCTCCAGAACCTTCCAGCTAGTGGGCCTCAGGCATCATCTGCTTGCACCCTCCTATCCGGTGTTGCCGAAGAGCGGCCTGAAGGCCCAGGCTAGAGAGGAGTGACCGTGACTTTGCCGCGAGGAAGAGCAGCTGCGCCCAGGGCCTGCCCTCCCGCCCCCTCCTGAGCACCCTGCAAGGCCAGGGTCCCTCTTCCCCTCACCGGTGAGGGGAAACCTTTCGCCTTTAAAGCCTCTTGCCCCTGGCCTCCCTGGAGCCCCAGGCAGGACATGGCCTTGAAGATCTCCGTCCCATGGGGTTGAACATTCTCCTTGTTTCTGGAAGGGTCTAGGCCACGTGCAGCAGGGGTACTTGAACCTGGGACAGTGCAGTGGGGGACGGCCAACAGGGCGGCTGCTCACACCTCCTCTCCCCTCTCCCGCAGGCTGCGGGAACACCACCGGGCCACCATCAGGGTCATCCGGCGCATGCAGTACTTCGTGGCCAAGAGGAAGTTCCAGGTCAGTCTGGTGCTGAGCCCCCCACCCAGCAACCCCTCCTGCACTCGCCGTGCCCCCGCGGAGGCTGTCACAGTCCCCGTCCCCAGCCGCACGGGCAGGCCTGTCCGAGACCCGGCCCCCAGCAGGCGCCTGCGTTGACCTCCTTATGCGTCCCTGGGAAGCCCCCTCTCCCCAGATGGCAGACCCCTTGAAGGATGCCCCTGAGGACCAGCCCAAAGGGACATGTGGCTTCCTCCTTCACTAGTTAGGAGACAGCATTGGCGCGGGGTGGGTGGGTGATGTTGGAGCAACTCAGAGATGGTGTGGAGTCAGCCCCAGGTCACCTGGGCAGGAAGTAAGGTCCCCAGAGTCCAGGGCCCTCTCCTGCACTGGCTGGGCGTCCCGGACTCCCCGTGCGAGTCAGAAGAACATAGGAGCCAGCCCCTCTGTGGGAGGAGGGGTCCCTTCGGCATTCCTCTGGGGAGGGGATGCCCACAGAAGCCCCTTGGGGCCTCCAGAGTCCAAGACTCCCTTCTGCTGTGGGGACAGTCCTCGAGCCGAGGTGGTAGTGGGGGGAGGTTTAGTGCTCATGTGAGAGCAGGGGTGCAGGCGTAGGAGATGGACTTCCGAGGGGCCATCATTCTCCTTCCAGAAGGCCTAGATCACCCAGGAGGGAAGGTTGGGACAACTTGCCGGGGTGGGGGGTCCCAGCAGCACCCCTGCGTCCAGCACCAGGCCCCTCAGCAGTCCCCCACCCACCTGGGCCCTGGAGTGGCCACACCACAGGCTCTGGACTCCATGGGGGGGTCTGGATGCAGACCCCTGCCCCAAGCAGCCCTGGGCAAGTTCTTCCCCAAATGCAATGGGAACGCGGGCCCGGGGCTGGCACGAGACCGCGTCCGTGCACGCCTCCATCCGGCAGCTGCCGCAAGCCCCGGAGCAGCCCTGGGCCAGGCCCTCGCCGAGAGCAGCGTGTGGCCCCCTCGTCCTGGCCACAAGCCACCACCTTGAGGGTCAATTTGCACACACAGCGGTCCCACGGTGGTATTCTGCCACCTGCCCTTCTGCCTGCACCTCCTGGGGCGTCTTTCATGGCTCAACTAGACCAAGGTGTGCCACAGCTCCCAGCAGGGCCTGGGACCTCTCGTTGTCAAAACGAGAGTCATAGTAAATGCCATTGTCGGCTGCCACCGGGAGATCTGCCTGGCTGTTCTGGGGGAGACCCGAGGGCCCCATGGACCTGAGCATCGCGATTCTGTGGCAGGGCCAGCTGGGACAGGAAGTGATGCGGGGGCACTGGGAGAGGAGGCCCCGGCCTCCTGGTAGCACTAGCCAGCGCCTGCCTAGGGAAAGGGCTGCAGGAACCCCTCGAGGGTCAGGTCTGGGCAGGGAAGTCCCCAAGGGCAGAGGAGACCGAGGGAAGGGCCCAGGTATCGCCTCGCTGGAGATTAGTATGGCCCTGACAGCTGAAGCCACAGACCTCACCCTGGGGGAGAAGAGGTCATGGAGGGTTTTCCAGGGTAGCGTGGCCCCTGGCCTGAGACGGTGGGCCACTGCGGGACAGAGCCCAGAACCCAACGGGGACTTGTGGGACTGCTGCAGGTGGGCACTGGGCTTCCTGGGGGTGGCCTCCAGGGTCTGGGGCAGCCAGCAGAGCATATGGACCCTGTGGCTCCTGGGCAGGCCCAACTCCAGGGGTGATGTGGGCAGCTTCCAGCTCAGGCCAAGAGATCATCTGCAAGGGCCCCAGCTGTCCTGTCACTAAGGTGCAGGCGAGAAAAGTGGCCCTTGGGAGGAGCCGGCCGAGAGCCCTGCACTCCCTTCCAGGCTGGGGTCCTCTCTGCTGCCTCAGCACACAGGCCCGGGTCTGAGAGTGGCCCAGGAGGCTTCTGGAAGCAGACTGGGCAACACTCACCTCCCCAATCTCTGCTGCTCCCTGCGCCCCAGGCCCTGGCGGCAGCGGGGCCCTCGTGGGCACAGAGTCTCTTGCGGGAGGATGGGGTCTAGGCGCCCTCCAACCCCCCCAGCTGTCTGTCATTACAGGCAGCGTAGAGGGGTGGGGAGCAGGAAGCCTCCAGAAAGCAAAGCTGGGGGAGGAGGAGCCCTTGGCAGTGAGGAGCCCTGTGGGGCTCCAGGGGCTACCCGCCCCCGCCAGCCAGCTCTCAGGCCGCCCTCCCTTCCTCCACTCCCACCCGCCCCTGCCGGGCCTCGGGGGCTGCAGACGTGGCGGGTGGCCCCCCTGGCTGCTCAGCTGGCCGATAAGTCCCTGGCCAGCCGCCCCTGTGTCTGGCCCGAGGAGCCAGGGCCTCTTAGCCCTTCAAGTTTGCCTTGAACTCCCCTGTCCACCGTCGGTCAGTCTGGACAGGCCGGCATTATCTCGGCTCATCTCGGGCTCCTGCTGCTGCGGGGGAAATGAGCTCTGGAGAGAAAGTCGAGACGGTCTCCCCAGCCAGGGCCCGGCAGCGGCTGGACAAAGGGCCCAGGAGCCCTGGCCAGGCCCCGACAGGGAGCTTGGTGGCTCCCAGACAAGCCTCGGTGGGCAGGGATGCCTCTGGGCCGTGTGCTGGGTGTCGGCGGGCACTGCCGACGCTCCCTGGGCTGTGCCCCAGGTGGGGTGAGGCGGGGGCTGAGGGTGCAGCGGGAGCCCGCGAGCCCCGTCCAGCTGTGCCCCTGCCGTCCGGCACACACTCGGACGCCCCGCACTCCTCACGCAGCATGTTCACGTACACGTGTGTCTGCACGGGCCCCTGGCACGCGTACGCACACTCGCCTGGTCACGGTGGCCCAAGGGCGCCCAGGCCGTCTGGGTGTCAGCACAAGGACCCGCTCCCACCCAGGCTCAGGCCTCCATCACCTCGAGCTCTGGACCCAGCGGTTCCTCTCACCTCTCCTCCCCTCACCTGCCCAACACCTCGCCGAGCACGCCTAGAGGTGCCACACGCCTCCCAAAGCCCTTCAGTCCACAGGGGGATGACCCACAACTCAGGCCCACCTTGAGCGTGTGTTGAGAGGAGGCTCAGCTGCAGCCGGCTCTGGCGCTGGCATGGTGCAGACAGGACTCCCTGACCTTCCTCACCTTCCATCTTGTTTCTCCTCGCTCCCTCCCTGTTGGGCAGAGCAAGGCAGGGCTCAGCATCCCCCCGTCTTACAGAAGGGAGGAACAGGGCTCAGCATCCCACCTGACAGAAAAGAAGAGAGAGGCTTAGCATCCCCATTTTACAGGACAAACTAAGACCTGGGGACATTATCACTGGTCTGCACCTAAGTGCAGTTTTTACGACTGTTGCTGAGCTGAGCACACAGCAGTCCAGAGGGTCTGCCTAGAGTCCTGTCCCGTGCCCGGCCCCATGGCCGGCCTGGGTATGTTGGCCACTGGACGGGGTGGGGGACCCAGTGCCCAGCATGGCCCCAGGAGCAGCAGGTCCTTCCTTCTGTCAGGGCACGGCTGTGTTGTGAGGAAGCAGGCCCCATTCCAGCCCCGCCAACCTCAGGGCCTCCTGCTCAGGGCCCTGAGCTGAGCTGGTGTTGCCAACGAGGGCCCTACCTGCTGGTGTCGTGTCATGTGGGGGCAGGAACCCCCTGGACTTCTGGGGCCAGCCCCCGGTGGGGAGGAGGCCTCTGCCCTGCCTTGGGATTGCTGGGGCCAGTACAACGTCGGTGGGTGTGGGAGCTCTGCCAAGCTCCAGATTGGTGGCAGAACCCCTGGGCATATCAGAAATGCGTCCAGAGCTGGGAGTGGGTGCCCAGAGTCCTGCCCTGGGGGCTCCCCATCTTCCTGGGAAAGTAGAGAGGGCCACATCCTCAGGTTAGGGTGGCCCTGGTCTCTGGAGTGGGACTCTAAGAAGAAGTAGGTCTCACTAGACAGAGAGCGTGCGTCCCCAGAGCAGCCGTGACCCTCAGCAGGTATCCGAGCTTCATTCCTCTCCCATCCTCCGCCTCAGTTGCCTCCCTCTGACCGGGGCTGGCCCTGCCCCACCGGGCATCTGTCTCGGCCTCACACTCCCTGCAAGAAGCAGTCGAGCTGCCGGCCCATTGCCGACGCAAGCTACTGGAGTGCTAATGAGGACCACCCTGGGCTGAGGCTGTCATTTGGGGTCACCCCTGCCCAGCACTGGGGACTGCCAGGAAGGGCGCATGGCAGACCCCTGCCCACCCTGAGAACAGTGGGGGCTGCTCCGGCGAGCTTGCCAAGGGTCAGAGTGGGGCCCGGGCAGGCGCGGCCACGCAGAGCTGAGCTTCTGGCCAGCGCCTGGGCGCTGTGCTGCTCTTCCGCCCCTCTGCGAGGCCAGCTCTTCCTGAAGCTGTTTGAGAACTGGGGACCGGTGGCCTGGGAAGGGGAGCTGGCAGGTCCCTGCTGATTACTGGACAGGAAGCCGAGGCCTAGAGAGGCCAAGCCAATGGCCCGGGGTCACCCAGCCTCTGCTGGCCACGCCAGTGGGGACAAGCCCTGCTGCTACCTACACACACTCTGGCCCAGCCTGCCCCATCACCCTGTGCAGGTGAGCTCCCAGATCTCACATGCCCCGCTAGGGCAGACCCCGTCACTGTGCGTTCAGAGGCATGCCACAGCTCAGAGAACGGAGTGACGTGTGTCTTTCTGGCCTACAGCAAGCGCGGAAGCCTTACGACGTGCGGGACGTCATTGAGCAGTACTCCCAGGGCCACCTCAACCTCATGGTGCGCATCAAAGAGCTGCAGAGAAGGTGGGCAAGCTCGGGCCCCAGGGACGGGGGCACATGGGCACCTTGGGGGCACGACCAGCCCAGCCCTAGCCCCGTAGGGGGCAGGGCCTGCTCCAGTCTGGCAGGGCGGAGACCTGAGTTCTCCCGCATGAGCCCTCCCGCGCCTCCCCCCTCCACAGAGGGAGAGCTGCTGGCCACGGCCAGCCCACTGGGCATCTCCACTGTTTCTGCCCCTCCCGGACCTGAGCGGGTGGAGAAGTTCTGGGGGACACGGGAGGAAAACACCTGCCTCCCTCCCTGCTGGAGCGCCAGCGCCAGCTCCGTGTTCCGGACGACTTCAGGTCGCTGCGCAGCCCAGCCCCCGCCTGCACACCACTCTGAGCAAGAGGCCAGGCCCGGCCCAGGAGGAGATGTGCCTGGCAGAGGCCCCACCCCCAGGCCCGGAGCTGGGGACCCTGGCAGTCGGGAGCCAGCGTGTTCTGGGCTCTGGCTTGGATCCTGGAGAGCTTGTTCCCGTGGGAGCAGTGCCGTCCGCGGGGGGCTGCTCAGGCTCAGACCAGCTAGCCTGGGAGCCCAGCTCTGTGTTGCAGGGGTGTGGCTGGGAGGCTGTGTCTGTCTGGCAGAGGTGAGGCCAGGGGCTCAGGGTGCCTCCCTCCTTGCTGAGGAAGTGTAAGGAGCAGCCCAGCTGCCGCCCCTCCTCTCTGAGCTCCCCACCTGGCCCCTCAGGAGCGGGGGCTCAGGAGGCACCTGGCAGGTCTCGGGTGGCAGTGGTGGGTGCCCCCAGAGTGGTGGGTGGTGGTGCACTGTCTCGCTGGGCACATCAGTACATCCCCGCACCATCACCAATGGCTGGACGTCCGAGCGGTGCCAGGGCAAAGCATGAGCTGGTCTCTGTCTCCTCCTCTCCCAGGCTGGACCAGTCCATCGGGAAGCCCTCGCTGTTCATCCCCGCGTCAGGTGGGTTCTTCTTCCCAGCCCTCGCCCCACCTGCTTCTCCCCACAGTCAGACTCCAAAGCCATGGGGGTAGGGGGGCAGGGCGGTGAGGCAGACCCCACCCTAAGCAAAGTGGCTTCCAGGAGTGCTTTACAAAGGATTTTTCAGTTCCCTAAGAACCCACCTGGGTCCCTTTAAATGGCGAACTTCCAAGGCACTGAAGTTGGGTGTGGAAACGCCGCCCCGGGGCAGTTGCTCAGGAGGGTGCTGGTGAGGGAAGGGCCTGCGGGTGGGTTTGGTGGGGCGAGCTGCCCACAGAACCCAAGGGCCGTCGTCAGGGCTCCGCCGGCTCAGGTGGAGGAAGCAGCCGTGAGGGTGCCAGTTCTCGGGCTCTGCGCCAGCTTGCTTTGTGCCCTGGGCAAGGGCTGTGAGTCACGCGGGGAAGGGCGGCAGAAGGCCCGCTCCTTGGGGTTGCCCCAGCCACGTTCCAAACGGGAGCCGCAGCTCGTGGCAAGGTAGTCACCCCTCCACCTATGCTAGCCCCGCCAGCCCTGCCTCCCGGATCCAGGCCAGTGCTGCCTGGATGGGCATGGGTTTGCACACGGGCAGGTACCCCGGCCCAGGCAGCCCCTGGGCAAGGTGAACCCATGGCCACAGGACAGGTTCTCGGAGGTCACGGAGCATGAAGGGTGGGGCAGGGATGGAGCCAGGTCCAGGCTGGCACAGCTGGCGCCCTGTCCTGCCACTGCGCCACCTCCTGCTGTTCTCACCACGGGAGCCCTTTAAAAGATGTCCCTGTAGGTGCAGGCCTTTCGCCTCTCAGCTGCCTCCTGCTCCCCGGCCCCTGGGCCACAAGCCCCGCCAGGACCGCCTGCCCCGTCCCTCCCCCGCCCCTGCACATCCCTGATGCCAGTGCTTTAACCTTAACTGTAGAAAAGAGCAAGGACCGTGGCAGCAACACGATCGGCGCCCGCCTGAACCGGGTGGAAGACAAGGTAGGCTCGAGCGTCCGGCCACCGCAGCTCTGGCGGTCAGCGTCCTCGGGGCCAGCGGAGTGTCATAGCAGTACGTCACTCTCCCAGCTCTGTCCCGAGCGTGCACACCGGCCTCCCTCCTCCCTCCTTCCCGTGCTCATGGCAGCCCCACGGCAGCTCCGAGATGGGGCGCCGGTCCACCCCACAGCCGGCTGGCCATCAGTGTCCGTGGAAGGGGCCGGCTGGTTTCTAGTTCTCTGACAAGTGGCGGGAAGTACCCACCAGCTCCTCCCTGCAGTTTCCAAGAGCCGTAGTGGGCGGGCAGCGTGGTCCCCGCCTCTCGTGGCTCCCTCGGCCCCCAGCCGGCGCTCACTGGGGAGCCAGGGCCCTTCTGTGGGTTGCTGCCCGTGGCTTCCCCATGCCAGAGGCTCTGGCCCTGCCCCCGAGCGGGGAGCAGGACCTCAGGTTTGGGCACACGCCGGGGCCTTCACGGGGACCCCGCTATGTCCCACAACCTCGCACAGTCTGCTTTTGCTCCAAGAGGCTCCCGGCCAAGCCCTGAGTGCAGGGGTTGGGGGAACCGGCCTCAAGTCCCAGCCTGCCCTGGGCCCAGCTGTCTGGGGCCTTGGCGTGGGCAGGGCGAGGGCACAGGGAGACACAGCGCCCAGCTGGGGTGGGCTGGTGGGAGAAGAGGTGTCTTCTCTTGTCCTGAGCCCAGGTGTGCTGGGGGAGGACTTGGCTTTGCCCGGCCAGCGCCCTCGGCCCCCGCGTCTCCGTGACCCCCTGTGGTAGGGTCCTGCCTGGTCACAGTAGCGTCTCCGCCTGGCCCCACTGGGCACGTGGGAGGTGCAGGGTCTGTGGCTCCTTCTCTGTGCCCTGGCTGCCCAAGACCCCACGAATCCAGATGCCGGGGCTTCGGCATGCACAGATGGGCCACCAGGGTGCCCTGCTCCCTGCCAGGATCTGTGCCCAGCACCCAGGGTGGCCCAGGAGCCACAGGACACTCTGGGCTGAGGGGGCAGGGGGTTCTCAGGCCCACGGCTGAGCCCGCCGCTGCCCTTTGAAGCCTCCGTGGTTTGAAGCGGGCTGTTATCTTGCCGAACAGCTCGGCTGTCTACATGGACTTTATCTGAAAGTAGCTGAGAGGCTAAAAATAGAGGAATTTCGGTTGGGCAGGGAGTGCGTCTGCTGTGCGGTTTCCCCGGCAACGCCTGGCTCTGGCCCACATCCATCTCGGCACAGCCCGGCCCACGCTCCGGGCGAGCCGGCTCCCCATCCTGCCCCATCCTGCCCCACCCCGTCCTGGGCCCGGGCCGGAGGCATCCCCTCTCCCCACCTGGCACGATCTGCCCCGGCCTGGGGTGGACATGGGGCCCTGAGACCGGTGGCTGGGAGCAGGCAGGCAGAGGGCCGGTGTTCAGGTGCCCACTGGGTGGGACACTCGCTGGGGCCTGGCCAGCTGGGGCTGTGAGGCCCCAGCACCCTGAGCCCCGCCGCAGGGCCCGGCTATCCGTGGTCAGCACAGGCCCAAGCAGGGCTGTGCGTGACCTCTGCCCGGCAGACGGCCCAGTGGAAGGTGTGCCCATCTGGCAGGGCGGGGGCTGAGCCCTGGGGGAGGTCTGCTTGCGAGGCCAGCCAGGCCCAGCGGCCCGGGAGCCCCGGTCTCCGCCGTCTGGCAAGTGGGGTGTCTGCTCGGCTTTCCCTGTGTGCGCACGCGGGCACACCCGGTGCGGCGGGCCGGGTACCCCGTGTTGAGGGCAGAGCTAGGAGTTTCCAGACATCAAAGGAAGCCGTGCTAGAGCCAGGGGGTGGCACCAGGCCCCCCTCCACTCCTCACGCAGCCCGCGAACAGCCCTGGTCAGGCAGCCTTTGTGGCCCGGCGGGATCCTGTAGGCCTTTCGTGGATGGCACAGGCTGGGCGTGAGCTCCCACCCCCCAGTCCCCCGCCCCAGCCCCACCCTGCCCCCACCTGCTGTTCCAGGCCTTTCCTGTGGCTCTGCCTCCTGCTCCACGAGACAGGCCACCCCCTTTAAGCCCAGACCAGGAACCTGGTGCCCTTTGGGGTAACAGTGGGTGGCTGACAGGGGGACATGGGGCCCTGAAGGGCAGCACCCCCTTTCCTGGGTTTGAGGAGCAGCCATCTAGCGGCCTGCCGGGGTCTGAGGAGGAGAACACAGCCCGCGGGTGACCAAGGTCGGTGTGGTGGGCTGCGGTGGGGCCAGCGCTGGCCTTGAGGGTGCAGAATTATAGCCCTGTCCATCAGATCTGAGCAACAAAGCAAGCGTTTTCCGGAGTCCCTGATCCCTGGGGGCAAGGTTTGAGAACAAAGCGGGCGAGTCGCAGGGCCCCACCAGGCTCTGAGCCAGGGCTGCGCGGTGCCGGGAGACTGCACGCACCTCGCTTAGCGGCACTGGCTCTGCGCCGTCCTCATCCCTCACCGAGTCCCTGTCCTGGGGTCCCCGAGTCAGTGAGCAGCACCCGTGGTCCACGTGGAATCTCAGCCCCTCTGAGGGGTCTGAGCTGGAACCAGGCTGCCCATCGAGGGGTTGACCGAGATGTGCTGACCTGGCCGGGCAGGTGGCAGCCTGCCCAGCCTCTCCCCTGCCCCTGCCCGATGCCCCTCGGGGACAGACCCTGGGAAAGGCCGCCGGGCCCAGAGGGCATGGTAGCACAGCCTGGGCCCCGGCCATCACAGTTATCAACGCGGCCATCGGGACCACGAGCAAGCCAAGCGCAATCCTGCTGACTTGGGGAAGCGGGGGACAGGAAGTCGAGCAGCCACTGGGCTGCAGAGGCCCGGCGGGCCCACGACACCGCCAGTGCCAGCCAGCCTGCCAGCCCAGCCAGAGCCCGGGGCCCTGCCGGAGGCCCCCTCCCCTCCCCAGCCCCCTCCCCCAGCGGGCTCTGGGCCAGGAGGGAGTCAAGGCTGCGGCCCCCAGCTGCTTTCTCAGCTCAGCCCAGCCACAGGGCCGAGGGGCCCAGAGAGGAGCGGGGAAGAGGCCTTGGGGATGCACAGCTGCCTGGCCCCCACTCCCAGGAGGGGGTCGTTCTAGGGGTCAGGGAGGCCTGGAGTATCCGCTTGCAGGGTTACCACGGAGCTTTTTCAGGCTTGCCTCGATTTCCCTAGCAGGGAGCCCCTCCTGCCTTTTTGTCCAGGTCAGGAGCCCACCCTGGGGAGAGGGACCCCATGGACTCCCTTCTTGCCCCAGCCCCCCGGTGCAGCCTTGTGAGAACTCTGCCTGGCAGCGCTTGTCTTTGCTTCAAACGGAGCCGCCCACCCATCCTGCAGGCTGTCCCCCCACTCCTGGGATAGCTTCCCCGCCGTGCCTGGCTGGCCGTTCAGGCTTTGCCTCACTCTGGGGTGTGGAGAGCAGAGATGTCATTCCCACCCCCCCACAGCACCCCCAGGCGCGTTTCAGGCTGCTCCCCGCCTGCCCCCTTCGCTGTCGAGTGAGGCTCTGAGCTCCTTGCTGTGCGCACGTGCTCTGCGGCGTTCATCTTACGTTACCACCTTTGTTGTTCCGGAAAGGACTCTTAGTTGCCCAAATAAATCCTCTTTTACAGGTGGGAAAACTGAAGCCCAGAGAGGTTAAGCGGTCGCCTGAGGCCACATAGCCAGTTAGGTGAAGGGCTGGTCGCAAGGAGGCCACAGACACGTGGGGGAGGGGGGAACAGAGAAAACAAGAAGGTGTT